TCAGACGATTCTCGACCGCCCTGCATCGCGCCGACGATCAGACCTTCCCCAAAAACGTCTTCATGCTCTTCAACTTCAGCCTAAAGCTCTTCGATTCCCGGTGATCCTCAAGCAAACTCTTCAATTCCTCGCGTGATCCGGATCACCGAATCATCAGAAACCGGCTCTGAGGCGCAAAAACCCTCACTCTCACACGAAGGAAACGAGCCGAGCGAGCTGTTTCAGGTGGATTAATCCCTTCCACCGCGAACTCGGCGCAGCGTTGAGGGAGTAAAGGCGCTTTGAGTTGAGTTATTGGCGTAATATTTTGGAGAATATGATTTCTGGTTTCTAGTAAGCCATTCGGCTTGGTTACTACGACGCCTTGTGGCCCGTTTCCGATGATGCCGACGAGCAGGGAAAGCGGCGCCGCGCAAGGAATCATGGGACTGGTAGTTCAAAGCGGTCTCCCGTGAAGCACAGCCGCGCGAAAATGACTTCAAATCCCATGAGCACTCAGCACGCGCTGTCCAACGTGCTGAACATACGGGTCTTCGGCCAAGAACATTCTTTGAGAGACCGTTTTGCTATATATTATATTATATTATATGTATGGATTGATGTTTGTGTAACTAAACACTTCATAACATTTAAGAAATGATCGATTGTGTAACAGCCCAGAAAAATTCTGGCTCCGAGTGTGTGTGTGTGTGAGAGTGTGTGTGAGTGTGTGTGTGTGTGTTTGTGAGTGTGTGTGAGTGAATGAGTGAGAGAGTGTGTGAGTGAGTGTGTGTTAGCAATAGTCAGAATTCGAAATCAACCACGATAGAAACGGAAGAGCGTAAAAAAAACGCATTCGAATCGCCGACGTTCCCGAATCGCGACACACTCTTGATTTTCCTTGCGTTTTGTACAACTTTGGACCCAATTCGCGGGCTTTCAGGCACAGATTGTGGCGTCTTTATGAGCTTTGCATGCTGGGATATCACTGGAGGAGGTGGGCGGACACAAACGGAAAGTCGTAAAAGAATCGAGGGAATGAGCGAATCGAATGTTTCGGTTGTCTACTGCTTCTTCTTGCTGAAGAGACTGAAGCGCTTCTCCTTGTCCTTCTCGCGCTTGCCGGGGCTGGATTCGGTCGTCAGGGTGACGGTTGCCGGGAGCGTGTGGGCGCGGCTGGAGGCGGGGGGGCTCTGGTTGCTAGGCGTGATCTCTGACTTCTCAGAGGACGAGGAGCCGCTGCCGGCGTTCTGAATGGCCTGGATCCATGTGTTCATCTCCTCCTGCAAACATCACACACACACACAGTCACTAATACATCTGTACTGTATATGTACTGTATATACACATGTTGTGCAGAAATTCACTTATTGATATTTGCCCCACATACACTGGAAAAAAGTGTGTGGAAACAATTTTCACTCAAAGGCAAGTAACACATTGAATTAAACATGAAATTTTAAAATAGAAAAACTAAAATAGTATTTTCTTGTTAAAGATACTTCAGTAATATTTGTTTTATTTACAACTTCAAATATTATTATTATTATTTTTTTTTTACAGTTGAATTGATTTTCTGGGGCATCTTTATCGAGGACTTTTTCCTCAAGCCATATAAAAACAGCATTTTTGTCAAATACTGAAATAAATTCTCAATCTGAACAGATATAATTCTAAGTATTATTAAGTTATTTTTAAGTTTATAATATTATTCAATATTTTGAATTACTTTTTGTTTTATATTTACAATATTTTAGTTTAAGTTTCAGTAATTTTGTAATGTGATTTTGTAATATTTATTAATTTTTTAATATTTCTATTCTTATATATTTATTCTTTATACCTTATTACTTTATTTCAGTTTAGCTTTTAGTAATTTTGCAATGTAATAATGGCAGTTTTAAAAAATATATTTCTATATACTTTTATTGTTATTTTTAGTTAATTCTATTTATTTTAGTTTAACTTTAAATAATTTTGTATTGTGATTTTGCCATTTTATTTCTATATATATTTATTTTATTTTAATTTATTCAATTTAATTGATCAATTTCACTTTTAATTTTAGTACTTCAACTTAAACATATTTCAGTTAGTTGCTAGTTAAGTTTTTATTTTAAACAAAATGTTAATCATTTTTTAAATTAAAATTTTACATTTTGTTTAATATTTAGAATTAATTTGATTTCAGCTTTATTTCAATCACCAAAAATTATTCTTAATAGTTTTAGTTTCAGTTAATAAAACTTATAATAATACTGAATAATACTGAACAATTATGACTGTTGCAAATAAAATGAAATAAACATTGCAAAATTAACAGTAAATAATCCACAATCTATCTATCTATCTAATCTATCTATCTATCTATCTGTCTGTCTGTCTGTCTATGTCTGTCTGTCTGTCTGTCTGTCTATCTATCTATCATCTGACTATTTCTATCTATCTATCTATCTATCTATCTGTCTGTCTGTCTATCTATCTATCTATGTATGTCTATGTATCTATCTATGTCTGTCTGTCTATCTATCTATCTATATATCTATGTCTATCTATCTATCTATGTCTGTCTGTCTGTCTGTCTATCTATCTATCTATCTATCTATCTATCTGTCTGTCTGTCTGTCTGTCTGTCTCTGTCTGTCTATCTATCTATCTATCTATCTATCTATCTGTCTGTCTGTCTGTCTGTCTGTCTCTGTCTATCTATCTATCTATCTATCTATCTATCTATCTATCTATCATCAGTTGCTGCAAAGTGCAGATGAATTACATATTTGATTATAAAATCTAATAATGTGAAGTTAATGGATTGAGGGTTAAATTGAACTAAAAACCTATAATTAATTCAGGTATCAGAAGTTCACTCTGTTTTTTTTTTTTTTTTAGTCTGTTTTATCATATGAAGGTCCAGTTTCTCATGTACCACAAGAGGGCGCCGCTAAACAACGTGTGCAAAAATAAACCATAAACTCCCATCACTAGCTTTTGGAGTAATATTGCTGGAGTTATGATGAAGTTATTATGATAAAAGCAGACTTACATCATCTTTGGCTTGGAAGAGATACTCATTTCCATCAGTAACTCTGTGAGGAGGAACAAGAGCTTCAGTCACAGCAGAACTACTTCATTGAGATAGCAATCGACTCACTCCAGCGCTCTGAACTCCTCACCTGAGCTTGAAGACGTGCTTCTTCTTCTTGTAGTCGACGGCCACCTCGCAGACGGCGTCCTTCAGGCTGATGGGGATCTCGCTGTGGTACGGGACGCCCTGCGCCGCGCTCTTGTTGTCTTTGTAGAAGCCCATCTCGTGGTTATTGATGACGCAGTACACGTTATGCCAGGATCTGATGAGACACACAACACACACACACACACACACACAAGTTTACGCAGGAGCCTCTGGATTTGTTTGTCATTTTAATGAAGACGCTTCATCAATCGGAGCGGAGAAATGAATCCAGATGCTCCTGCGTAAACTCTGCGATGATTCCTGAGAATTCTATGATGGAATTTCCTCAAGACGAATTCTTTTAAAAACACAGATTCATCTCGATTTGCTGCTTGATTTCAGATTTTCTCAAACTCTGAGATGAAGGTTATGTCTATATTAGATTAGCTTATTTCCAGATGTTCAGGGAAAGTATTATCAGCGAGGTTCAAAATGAACACCAATGCCAAATATAATAATAATGCATGGCTAAAAACAGTATGAAGGAGTCTCACTGATTTAAGCTATCTAAATCTTTATGATCAATGTTGAAAACAGTTGTGGTGCTTCATATTTTTGTGGAAACTGTGATATATTTAATTTTTCTGGATTCTTTGATGAATAGAAAGTTCAAAAGAACAGCATTTATTTGAAATAGATATCGATTGTAACCTAATAAATGTTTTTACTGTCACTTTTGATGATTAAAAGTAAAAAAAAAAAAACTTTTCAGTCAGTGTAATTTTAGTTTTTTAATATGTTATTATTATTTTTTAAATATAGAATTAGTATTTATTTTTGTATTGTCCATTTTCATTTTCAAGTTCCAAGTTTAGGCATTTTGTTCTGTTTGTGTTTTTTTAAAAAATATATTTATGTAATTTTTACTAATTTTATTTCAGTTTTAGTTATTTTAGTACATCAAGTTAAACTAAATAAGTTAAAATGAGAAATGTTGCTTGAGAAATTATTTATTTTATTTTATTTTAGTTCATGTTTATTTTATTTCAGGTTACAATTTTTTATGGTTTTAGTAACAGTTTCTTTTAAATATTTTGTTTTATTTATTTTAATTTTGTATTTTCCATTTTTATTTTATTTTGAGTTAAAGTTTTAGCAATTCTGTTGTGTGTATATAAACAATAACGAATACTTTTTAATAGTTTTTAAATAGCATCTTCTCGTAAAACCTACACCAATCTTTCATCTTATCTTAGTTTTTATTTTTAGTTTAATTTACAACTACAATTTACAAAATCCTCTTTTACAGTGAAATTAATTTTTGAGAGCATCTTCATGAAAGCAATTATTTCTCATATAAAAACATAATATAAAGCCATATACATGTGTCAATTAATTGTGTTAATTAAGTTAATGTTAGTTATTTTTAATATTCTGAATTAGTTTTTATTTTTGCATTTTCTGTTTTCATTTTGATTTTAAGGTTGAGTAATTTAGTTTTTTGTCATATTTTGCTATCTAGTTTTTATTCATTTTATTTCAGTTTTAGTTTTAGTCATTTTGGTGCATCAAGTTAAACTAAATGAAAACGAGAAATGCTGAAATAATTTTTTTTTTAATGTTATTTTATTTCAAGTAATGAAAACGTTTGACTTCTCTATTACTGTGATCATCATTAGGCCTGTAACGATAACAACATTTTGTTGTGCGATATATTGCCCCAGAAATAATTGCGATACGCGATATTATTGTCATTTTAAAGACCATTTTATGCCACTGAATATATAATCATAATGTAAAAGCATAGTAATGCAAGAAGGCCTACACACTTCCAAATGTCAACAAACTTTTAAATTTTAAGAATATTTAGATCATAAAAATTATCAAAATATTAAATACTTTAAAAAACCTGAATAAATAGTACATAAACATTTTCTAACAAGAAGTGCAAAGTAACAAGTAGAAAAAAAGAAAAATGCACAAAGAACTTGTATGGAGATTTTTCCATATACAGATTTTTCCCTGACCTTCTTTTCTCTGTAAATGAAGGGTGCACACTATTGCTGAAAAACACAATCACTACTCAGCAGTCAGATGTCTGTATGCACAAAGGCATAGATCCCTAAACAAGGTCATATCTGCAGATTAAACTTTGTAGAAGCATTTTTTAAATTTGAACTAGCTCCTCATGACTACACCACGTTATGTACAAAAAGCTGCAAAAGACACAGGCGCAAGTGGAATGTTCAAAACATGGTGACATACATTTTTAAGTAAATATAATGGGCGATATATTGCGTCACCAAAAATGATTGAGGTCATGTACATATATTGCGCGATAAGTCAATATATTATTATACCTGCTGGAGGCTTTCTTGTTGTGTCCCTCCCACTCGTGTTTGCGGTGCAGGAATCCCTCCAGCTGCGCAGACGTCGTCTCCTGACCCTTCGCCGGCAGTGTGGCTGACTGACTGCCTTTGGCCCGTCTGTCTGCGCTCGGAGACGGGATGGGACTCGGCTCCTTCGAGCTCCTCTCAGCCACTCCGTTCATCTCGCCCTCCACTCCATCCTGCCAACACACCATCAGCCATCAGTCACTGAGCTGCAGCTTACAAACCTACAGAGTCAGTCACACGCCATGAATTCTGAAAGAGTCGTTTCAGAAATCGTTAGCAGGAAAACAGAAACACTGGCTGATTCAGAGATGAGACTCATTCAAATAAAGTCAACATGAACTCAATATTAAATCTATTTACACTGCAAAAACAGATTTTTTTGTTTTTTGTTAAATCAACATACATTTTCTTTAGAAGATAAAAGATTTTAAGTCTGAAAAATATATTAAAATTAAGCGAGTTTATGCTAAAAACAAGAAAAAATATTTGCCAATGGAGTAAAAATAAATAAATGTTTCCCTTTGAATTAAGTTGATTTTTCACTAAATTTTGATCAAATTTTCAGAAAACAACACAACAGTATTTTTATATACCATTTATATATATTTTGATTAGTATCAAACAAATACATATCATTTATTAATATTATAATACACTTATATTTCTTCTTGTTTTAAGCATAAAGTCACTAAATTTTTCAGAAAATATAAAAACAAAAAATTTATTATTTTACTAAAAAATCATTTCATTAAATACATTTTTATATATTTAGATTAGTATTAAACTATTGTGAACACATATCATTTATTAATATTATAATACACTTACACACTATTATATTCAGAAATATTAAATACATTTAATATATTACGATTAGTTAAAACCTAATATAAAATACAAAAAAATAAAATGTATTGAGTCACTTCATTTTGATCAATTGTTCAGAAAACAAGACTTAATATCTTTATTTTGCATCTCAAGTAAATATATCTTGATTTAAGAATGTTTCGAAATCTGTACTGCAAAACAAGACAAAAACAAACACGTTTAAACACATTGTTAATAATTCTTATATCTTTTTTGGCTGTTGGATATTGTTATTAATGTCAGATAATGCATCACACTGCAGAATAAGCCAGGTTTTAAATGCATTTCATGTTGACTTTAAAGGTAAAAAGATCATGCAAGATGCAAAACTATCGATCTACAGTCACCGCAGAAGGCCGGGAAACATCGTAGATGTCTGAAACTCAATCAGTTCACTCGTATACTGATTGAAAAACATCATGCTTAAAGCGACAGCACACAGAGTTCACTCCAGATGTGTTACTGTACCGCAAAACCCGTCCTGCTCCGCTAAAACGGCTTTCAGGAACTCAAACACAACCTCTTTAGTCCAGCTTTATTAAGATCTGTGCTTAAAAACCTTCAAAGCTCTCATAAGGAGCCAGTGAAGCCTGATAAAGGAAGGGTTAGATGCATTTAAACACAGACGCAGCGATAATCACGTCACAGGACATACAACATACAAACTGTGGAGAAAGATCAGCTGATTTATTGTTCGTGAACTAGTGGATACCAACAGAGATACTGGAAGTACATGACGACAGACCCGTCATACAGTCTTTGCAGATCATTTTATGGTAAATCACCTCAAACGAACACAAAAAATCGACTCCACTGGACGTTTTTGGACTCTAAACACAGAACAACAGGTTTGAGTTTCACAAGCTCACATCGCAAACACAACAAACGAAAGCGGAACCAAGCTATCAAAATCAAGGCAGATCATTTGCACAGGTTTAAATATCAAAACTACTATCTTAAAGCAATGCTCTCGGTTCATTTTGACTCACATCACACACACTGCCCATTAAAACTGAAAATAATATCAAGAGGAGGAAGCACGCTTCACTTTTACAGTAAATAACAGTGCTTACGGTAATGCACTTATAAAGGAAGTCTAGAACACTCTATAAAGCACCATCATTTCTATAGAGAAAATGTCACTGCAAAAAATCACGTTCTTCTTTAGTATTTTCGTCTTGTTTTCCGGTATAAATATATAAATATTTTTAAATAAAGATACATTTATTTGAGAAGCAAAATGTCTTAAGATATTAAGTTTTTTTTTGTCTGAATAACTGGTTATAATTTTGTGATTAACATATTAATATATATTAACTAATCTTAGTATATTAATTGCATTTCAATTTTAAAATAATACATAACATTATATATAAAATATTACACAATATTATACATTTGTATTTATATTAGCTGTATATACTAATCTAAATATATAACAAATATATTTAATGAAATGATTTTTAGTAAAATAATACACTTCAAATATTAATCTAAATATATTATTCACAATAATTAATATTAATATTTATTTATATTAAATTTATACTAATCTAAATATATTACATTTATTTAATTTACTAAAACGACGCAATATATTAACACAAAAATATTATTTATATGAATACATTTTATTTTGTTTTCTGGAAAAAAATTATCACAATTTTGTGACTTTATGCTTAAAATAAGAAAAAAATATCTGCCAGTGAGGCAGGACAATAATCTTAATTTAAAGGGAAAACCAGATACATTTTTGACCCACTTTTAGACATTTTTTCTAAGTGTAAAGTCACTTAATTTATATATAATTTTATATGTTCCTGTTTTTCTAATGCATAATCAGAAGTTGATCCTCCCAAAAAAAGAAGTTCCACGTCAAAAAAGACAATTTAGACACTTTAGACATTAAATAACACTCATTTTTTGTATGGAGGCATTCATTTAAGTGCTTTAACGGCTCCATATTTCCCATAGGCTTCCATCGTGCTTTACTGAGGTTTCTGCTCGTTTAAACTAGTAATGAACCGGAACATTTCATCATCGTTACTCATTTATCTGTTGGTATCTTTTTAAGGCACATCATGTCCACAGAACACACCATTGCCATTAGCCTTCAGAAAGTCCACTGAGAACCTCCAACGATTCTGACTGTCGTTGATGAACAGCTGACAAACACGTGTGTATCACGTCAGCTGGGGTCATCAGAGAGCATTATGGGAACTCTCAGTGTCCCTGACCGGTGGTTCGTGGTGTCTGCTGACTGCTAGTGTATTGTGGGTAGGTACAGGAGCGGTAACTAACCCGTGGAGAGTCCTGGTCTGATGGCAGTCCGTTCTGGGCAATCTGCTCTCCTTCTCTGTGAGCACACACACACACACACCCACACACACACACACACAC